TTGGAAAATAATGTTTGATTTAGATGTTAAAGGTTTGATTAGTGTTCCACAGTAAAGACTAATACATGACAAAATAGACGCTACCGCTGTTGTCATAGGTTCTACTTTATTCAGGCAACCACCAACGAGCATTTACAACGTGTCTCCAGAAAGGAGGGGGCACGGGTGGCCCAGTCGTCTAAGGCGCCGCGATTCGCTGTGCAGAGTTGCGTCCCTTGGACACGCCAGAAACCTATGATTGTGGGTTCGAATCCCGGTTCGCCCCAATTATGTTTCTAGGGTTGTCAGCACCATACCCGTGCTCGTGGGTTTCACCGAAGTGGTAAACGTCTGAGACCTGCATCACTTCGGGCTTTCCTCCCACATTAAGCTGACACGCCGTGATATAACTGGAATAATGTTAAAAGCGGCGTTAAACCCAACTCACTCACTCACTCACTCACTCCAGAAAGGATGAGTCAGACACGATGTCTACTCACAGCCGAGTTTCATACACAGCCGAAACAAAAGTTAGAAATCTAGATTCACGAGGATCAATATATATAATCTTTCGATAGACGATACTTCCATTGGCTCATAACAATATATCATATGAATCATACGTCATGCTCGAGGGCAGTCTGCGACAGAATCTAAAACTGATTGAAATGATACAAAACAGTCTTAGAAATATTAAGCCGCGATAGTATTTCAGAAGAAATATTCTGACAGTTTTTGTGAAAAGAAATGGACAATTTCTTTGTTAAACACAAGCATATTGTTCGTCACTGTGTGTTTGGGACATCGGATTGCAATTGGTGCCAAGGTATAACCTATTGCTAATTACCATGCAGTAAATGCCTCACACATCATGCAGTAAATGGCTCACACATCATGCAGTAAATGGCTCACACATCATGCAGTAAATGCCTCACACATCAGATTACATCGATGATCTTATTATGTAGACAAGTCAACCATAGACTGTCATATGCAAAACATAATATTTAGTGTCACCTAACAAATGATCAAAAGCGATAAGGTTTCAGTTTTAATTGCCATTACAACTAATAACTCGGGTATTAATTTAAGATTTAAAAAATCCTTAATAACCCACGTGGCTGTTTTCCTGGAGGTATCTGTCTATGTGTGACGAGATCTCCGAGTCTTGATGGCGAGACGAATCGATCGTCATCTTTCTTTTTCTAACACGGGTGTTACATTTCAAGACAATCTGACGTTGGAAATTCATTAGCACAAATGATTGTTGGACAGTGTTGTATTTCGGAGATGGTAAACGGATCTCTTTAATTTGTGCAGATATTATACCAGCATATCACAGTTACAAGGCAATGCATCACATCCGGCTGTTGAGTGCCCAGCTGGTTGGAACATAGACGTACATTACAGAGCACACTTCTTCATCTGTTCTGAAACCAATAATGCTTTGATGGGCATAATTACCCTGCGTTAATCTGTAGTGGACATTGTCGTAATCAAAGGACTGACTCATTCGATGCCGGTTAAATGTCAAATGAGCAAGCGAAAGATGTTTGCTATTTAAAACAATATATTACGATTTTACTTTTTGAATTCAACTGTTTCTGTTTAAGCGCATTGCAAGTTCCACACACAGGAGAAAACAGCATGTTTGGAGTATTCGAGATAAGTAGAGTCATAAATCCCATCAACTAGACGTATGATATTTCAAGGAGAAGATCTGAGATTATTTGCTTGATTTTTAAATGTCAGAGATGCTGTTTACGTTGTTCAAAGTTTTCTTTTACACCTAAGGAAAACTGATGTTCGTCTTTATAACTCGAGGCAAGATTATGCCCATACTTCATCTGATTAATTGTCCGACGTGTCCAGCGACATGTTTCATTAGAAGTAATTTGGAAATACCATAGCATATCCGATGTATATCACAGTGATTTAGCTGCCTTTAATACTTTCACTTTGCGACGCCATCTGTCCTTTGAAGTCAGCCACCCTTTAATTTTATTGAATTCAGCCGCTTCTTGTAACGTTACTGATTACTACACTAAATATCTTATTTCTAGGAAATATCGTGTAGTCGCGTGTTAACGAGGTTGTCGCTGTGCGATGTTGACAACGACGTCATTTGACAGATTAGCGTCCAGTGTTAATGATGAAATGTTTGACGTTTTTTATTTATTGAATAAAATGGCTTTTCCATTATTAGTTGATGCTGTTTTAAATGTGAAAGATTTCTCAAGCTAGACTCCAAGTCAAAAGAACAAAAGTTAAACAAGTGTACAGTGGTAATGTTTTTTATGTCAAAGTTTTCTTGACCCGTGAAGATCCGGGGTAGAATAGGTCTTCAGCAACCCATGCTAGCCGTAAAAGGAGACTTTGCTTGACGTAAGAGGCGACTAACGAGATCAGGTGGTCAGACTCGCTGACTTGGTTGATGCATGTCATCGTATCCCAATTGCGTGGCCCGATGCTCATGATGTCAATCACTGGATTGTCTGGTCCAGACTCGATTATTTACAGACCGCAGTCATATAGGTGGAATATTGCTGAGTGCGGCTCTTAACAACAAGAAGCAAAGTTTTCTTAATGTCGGAAATATATTGAACCAGTGCTTAAATTGCACACCGTTTTCTGGGAAGTCTGTCTCTTCAGTCGTATGTCTATATGCATGTTAACAAATGATAGCATTTCTTCAAATATAGATTACTTTAACATTATACACACGCACTCCAATAGACACCGAATATCACCAAATATGATTCTTGCTTGTTGAAATGTTAACATATCAAATCTTTGATTACTGTGTTCAACACTGCATGCAACGTTGATGTACATTGATTTGCGCATCGACTGGACGTTAAGATAGTAGCTTAAGCGTTCGCCCGGCTCGCCTAAAACCCGGGTTCGATTCTTAACAAGGATACGATGTCTCAAGGTCATTCTTGGTGTCCCCGCTGTTATATGGCTGAGTATTGCTACTCATGGTCACTCAATAACATGGATAATCACAGGTCCATCCTTAGTACCCATTACATAGTGTTACATTACATATCATATATATTCAATACGAAATTGATTTCATAGTTCTGATTAAATTAATCGTTTGAAGTTGTAGTGTCTGTATTGAGAAAACATAAATTGTTGAAATTAATACTGTGAAAAGGCTACAGCCTAGGATAATTGACGGAAATCCAGAATTGGACGGCAGATTTACATCTGTGGACAGTAAAGATTAACAGATTGAAATGTAAGCACGACATAAGACGTTAGCTGTATCAAAACATGATATTATTGATTAAAACAGGCAGTGCACCGTTCAACTGATGTATCCAACATGGCGGCAGACAGGTCAGCGTTAAGATGGCCATACACTTGAACTGCATCAGGCGTTTCAGAGTATACAGACCTACATAAACTCGTTAGCAACTTAATGTAGGTTCGTAAACTCGTTTACGTCTTGTAGGAACTCGTTAACAACTTCCAACAGAAGACCTAAACGATTTTAGAGTTTACATTTTAATTATCATATGGTCGTTTGTTAAACAATATATTGTGACAATTTTAATAAGATACTCAAGTACACCCCATTCAATAGGTATCTATGTATGTTGTCTGTGGGAGTACTAGTACTAGTACTAGTTACAGTCATGAGTATGATTTCCTTACTCTTTGACACACAGTTGACCCTTACAGGGAACTCAAAGTTGACGAGCAAATGGTACCACGCCAAGGAAACGAGCTATGTAAAGGCTACATATGTTTACCAACGAGTCTGATGGTCTTTGCAGTGCTTCGACAATTCCACCCACACTCAATCATTTAACCCACCCGTCAACAGACTCACGCGAGGCCGTGTGTTGACAGGGGGATGGGTGGTCCATGTGACAGGACCACTGCATCGTAGGTACATGAACGTCTAGACAACGTGATGTAGAGGGTGTCACTGGGCTGGACAGGTGGACGTGTGTCACCGACCCCGTGTTCTGCATGGGAAACTAGGGGGATGATGGCCAATCAGAGTTTCTCTCATCGGCGAGACCTCTCTTCCAGACACCGATGGGACGAAAAGAACGGACAAAATAATAGACCCTTTCTGTCAACACTATGAAAGACCGTTATCTTCGACGTCGCTTTTAAATTAACAGTAATGTTTGTGAATCAGAACGACCTCTGTCCCTGCCTCCATCGGTGTCTCATAAGTCCTGTCTGCCTCTGTATCCGTCGTTGTGTATCGATCAGTTCCAAATGAACATCAAACCCCCAGGTCTGTGATGCACGTGAGTAATTACAAGACGCTAATACATCCCAATCAGCATGTCTGTGTGTCTAGACTGGTTCGCGTTACAAGACACGGCTGTGACACACGCACGACTGCCGCACCAGGGATGCCTCGCTTGTGACATTGCAAGATGGCATTACGTTGAATCCTGGCCAGCTTCAACTAACTAGACGGTTATCCTACGCCGTAATAGCACAGGGGATCCCTTCATCGTATCTCTCACACAGAGATTAAATAATAATACCTGTCACGCTTTCTCCATATCGACAAGCAGTGGCAACATAAAACATGTCGAAAATATAGCGTATTTATTTATATAACAATTTTATGTACTTAAATTTCACAATGGTATTCCGTACAAATTATGTATCTATTATGTGAAATGCTTTTTGCCCTCATTTTTTGTGCACATGTCTGAATAATCTGTTAAAAAAAAGTAACAGTCATGACTGTCTATCTATTTTATAACACAAACAACCACCACTGTTTTGATAATAGTGTGGACACTGTACATGCAAAGATACACCCGACTAAGAAGTAACTGCCGATTATTTATTTATTTATTTATGTAATCTGATTACGTTTACAGGAAGATACTTGTTTCAGTTGTACGAACAATTCGCAATTCCTGAACATTTAGGCTGAAAACGAGTTCAACAATGGAAACTCCGTTCGTCATTATTTTAGATGACATATGATAACATTATCGCTTCAATTTAACGCCTTTTCTTTTCCATTCCAGAAGCCCTTTCATCATGAGCAAGAACAAGAAAGAGGATGATAAGCCCCCGCCCTCCACGGGTCCCGGGAGTAAGATACACGCCCTACCGTCCATTGTCAGGAGGCATGTGCTCCAGGAGGATAAGGTCGTCATCCTCAACTTCTCCACTGCCAGCCTCAAGACATTGCCTGCAGAGATCTGGAAAAACGAGGAGGTTATGGCCAAGGCCGTTCGTTTACATGCTGAAAACAATCGCCTTAAGAAGTTCCCTAAGACAGTATCGGCCTTAGAGGTATTGGAGTTTCTAGACTTGAGAAACAACCTAATCACTGCCCTTCCTGGCACGATCACAAAGATTAAGACTCTGGAAAAAATTGAAGTGTCGAACAATGCTTTGAAGAGTCTGCCAGGTACAATAAACAAAGCTCCTGCATTGAGGACTTTAAGCGCGGCCCATAACAAAATAAAGTCTCTGCCAAAGACCATCAACAAGTGTCCAGAACTGGAATACCTCGATGTATCTTACAACCAAATCAAATCTATTAAGAAGAACGTGTATGAGCTAGGAGCTACCGTGAACCTGTCGGGAAACAAACTGACGGAGTTACCAGATGCAACGGTGAAGGCGCCCGCTCTTAGATCCCTGAATGTGTCGCACAACGAGATAGCGGTAATTCCAGACACTATCAACATGATCCTGACCCTCACAAGTCTCAACCTAGCCCACAACGAACTTGAGGAACTGCCAAGAGAAATCGGGTTCTTGAAGTACATGCACTTTCTTGATGTGTCTCACAACCAGCTAGTGGCTCTACCCGACGAACTCTGCACCTTGCAGCATGCTCTCACATCTCTCAACGCTTCTGACAACCAGCTAAAGGCCTTGCCGAAAGATATTCACAAGCTGCAGGTTCTCCAAACGCTTAATGTTTCAAATAACCAAATACAAACTCTCCCACCGAACTTCTATGACACACAGTCGCTTGTGACTCTAGATTTGTCAGGCAATAAGCTACAGTCGGCGGACGGTATCAGCAAACTTAAAAGTGCAATTTTGGTATCTCTTGCCCGGAATGACCTCGGCTACCTCCCAGAAGACGTCGACCAGATGAAATCGCTGGTCACCCTGGACGTGGCTGGGAACCACCTAAAACACTTACCAAAATCTCTCAATCGAATTTCATCACTCAAACGTGTGCTGGTTGCTGATAATAAGCTCTCCAGCATCCCGGACACGCTAGGGGAACACCAGCTGATCACAGAGCTAGACTTCAGTGGGAATCGCGTCCTAGGAATTCCACAGGAACTCAGAAAACTAAGGACGCTGGAAGTTCTAAGAGTGGCGCGCAATCAGATATCAGCCTTACCCAAGGTTCTAGATACCCTTCAGTTTCTTCACACTGTAGACGTGACAGGCAACGGCCTGACCGAGATCCCTCTGCCAGTAAGTGTCCAGGTCCTGCTGATGGCTAACAACCCCCTCCATTCCCCGACTGCAGATACAAAAGGTACTCTAACTGTCATTGGGGAGAAGGAACATGCGAAGAAGTTGAAACGGCTGGACATCTCTAGTATTCGTCTGGATAGGGTGCCATTATCCGTGTGTCGGCTGAAGCTGCTCACGTTTGTGAACCTATCTCATAACCAGTTGAAGAAGTTGCCCGGAGCCCTCTGTAAACTCCGACTATTGGAAGAACTGGATGTCAGTGACAACGAGATTCTCACTCTACCACAGAACATCAACTGCTTACAGAATCTGAGGCGTCTGGACGCATCTCAAAATCGGATCGGCCTATTCGTGGAGGGTTTGACGCTGCTTCATCAGCTGGAGTACCTGAACCTGTCATTCAACAATATAGTAAGTCTTCCAGACCACTTCGGGGAGATGAACAAACTGGTCACTCTAGACCTCTCTAACAATGAGCTGACTCAACTACCAGAGGACAGGATCGACATCCTGGCATCGCTTCTCACCCTCAATATCTGCAAAAACCACATCAATATAATCCCGACAGATCTTCCCTATCTGTATCGCATCCAGATCCTCAACTGTTCCGGGAACGATTTGAGTTCTATTCCAGCAGACATATTCAGGATGACGTCACTGGAGGTCTTGGACCTGTCAGACAACTTGTTGGAGTCTCTCCCGGACGGGGTCTCCAAGCTGCCAGCTCTGCGGGAACTAGACGTGTCTGATAACAAACTCAGTTCCTTCTCCAACAAGATAGAGCAGATGAGGAAAAAGTTAAGCAGCTTCAAATCGGAGAAACAGTCCAGCTACAAGACCCGTGATCTCAAAGAGGGTTTAGCAGCCGGGGAGGCTCAGACGGACAACAGCCGTGAAAACAGTCCCGCCCTCAGGGCCAAAAGCCCTATGCTCAGCAGGGTTGAAGACGAGGACTAGGCTCCTGGATGCTCATTGACTTTAATGCTTTCGGTATCATTTTGGCTGATTTGTGACACTTACTTTTTTGAATATTTTGATAAAATTTATGTGTGAAAATGTCATATAGTAGGGAATTCTAAAACATAATATCTAAATCTTTAACATCATAATGTATCATTTGAAGTGATAGTGTGTAATATAAATTGAATACTTTGGGATATCGTATATAAACCTATCATATTTCTTTGTTAGAACATTTCTGTAAGATAGTTATTGTAAATGTAATGTCGTGAGAACAGATTTTGTAAGTTACACTTGTGGAAAGGAGAAGAATTAAACGTTTCAAGGCAGTTGAAAATAATTCATGAACCTCTTTCTGTTAACGATCCAGAGCATTGCAAATACTGTCTAAAGATGCTACTAAATGTCCAACTCACCCACTAACTCTTTCCACTCAATGTCGATATGGGGGCTAGCATTCAAGTCAGTTTAGTAAATAAACGAGTTTAATATCCAAACGATCAAATTGTTTTATACAGTAAACTAAGAACATCATCAGTTGCATTTAGTTACATCACAATTCAATAACCTGCTTAATATAGCCGTCTGCATTTCGCTGGATAAAGTTCTCTTAACATCAATGCTCTGGTATATCGTCATGCTTGGATCTCATCAGTATTATGTAGTATTTTACAATGAGTTGATTAGAGTGTTCCAGCCTTACCTTGCATGGTTCATATACTCCCTGCGTTGGTCACATGTTTACTGTTTGAATGTAGGTTCATATAGGCGCAGGTTATTCTTGGCTTATTACTATGTCGTGATGTCCCCAAGGAGATATTCAGAACTGTGATGTTGTTATTACAAGGTCCTACTGTGATGCCTGCTTTGTGTTATACATGTATGAAGGTGATTTTTATTTTGAAATTATTCTTAATGAACATCATGTTTTATAATAAGCTCTTATTGTGATATATGTTATTTTGTCGTACATGTATATATAGATGATTGTAAATGGTACAATATAAATATCTTTTCTATACCAGTATTACTTATTTTGTCATTAACGAATACCAGTTTGAATGATTCTACAACATTGTTTAATACTGTAACACTTGTTTTCATTCAAGGATTGTGTCATTCGAGGATCGTGATGTGAGCTCAATAGCACAAAACATACATAGCGCATTCACGTAAAAGCACATAAACTGTCGGGCAGAAGAAAGTTAACACTTGTAAGTTGGAAAAATTACAAACGAAACGTTACTAGACTGAAAACAGTTGTGGAAACACTGCCAACCTAAGTCCCAAAACACAACTATGCTACATGGGTGTATGCTTTCCTTTGCCAGGCAGTTTACATAAGAGCGGTGTAATTTCTATGTCTCATAAAAGTGACATGAAATTAATATACCGTCAACTAGTTTTTCTTTGGATAAATCAATTCTGATTGGAAATAATTGGAAATAATTTGACATCAGCAGCTGAATAAAAAAATGAACGAAACAGACAAATCTTCTCAGCATCCTCGGCGTGTCAGGGTATTTTATCACCTTTTTAAAACACCTTGGGTCTCTTCGCTACCATGGATTCGTTTCGGGGGTGGCGTTATATCTCAATCTCTCTTACAAAATTTAATTAAATTAAATTTAGAATTAGTATAGCGCATTGTCCAATAGACAACTGCTTATCAAGAACTTCCAACGGAATTTCTCTGACATATATAATCAACAATCTATCAAAATGACTGTTATGGAGCTCAGTCTCTCATTTTGACCATTGCATTATCTCGTCATATCCCTATGATTGCTGGCTTCCAGTGTCCATTGTGATTACAATCCCTCGTCATAGGACCAGGTAGACTTTCACTGCTTGTGAACGACTGGGGTTGTAATCACTACTGCGGATTGTATTATCTTGATCGATGAAACGATATCACATTGCATCTAAAACGATTCCAACTATTTTAATATTGTAGCCTCCGACAATTTATATGGCAGGCACAGACATGTCATCAGATGCCGAACTCTAATAAATACTGAAGCACAAATTAACTTTCTGTGATTAGCAAATTTCATCTTTCAAAATCTCTCGAACAGGTTGGCGTCAATGAAAAGATTTATGTTTCGGTGGATAATCGAGACAGTTATTTTCTTGCATTATCGTTTTCTATTATTTTTTATCTACATTTAAATACATGTATATGTTTTATATACACGTTAAGGTATGTGCATGTTACACATACCTAAAAACATGCTTGAATATTCCCAGAGTAGTGGATCTAAAAAACACAATTAATATAACTATTGCTTCCACAGATTTTGAGATACAATATAACAATATGCAAAATAATTTATTTAAGTGGCATTTACAGGGTTTTTTTGTGATGAGCACGGGAAACATGGGTATATACTTTCTTATAAACAATGACTGCGACGGTTACAATGTAGATACTGACACCGTTATCACATCACTAGCTTGTTAACGGTGTTAGTGTCTACACCGAAACGCCCCATTCATTGTAATAAAGAAATTGTATGTCCATAGAACTATCTCTCTTGTTAAGATGCAAAATGTCAGCGTACTACGTACAGTGTGTAGTCACAGCGAGGGGCTGTATGAGAGGCATATGATTACCAGTTGCGAAATGCTGTGCGTGCGTGCTTGCGTGCGTGCTTGCGTGCGTGCGTGCGTGCGTGCGTACGTATGTATGTATGTATGTATATGCGTGCCTGCGTGCGTTTATGCATGTATGTCTGTGTGGTGTGTGTAGGCATGTCTGGCGTGCGTGCGTGCCTGACTGTGTGAGTGAGTGAGCGCGTGCGTGCGTACGTGCGTGCTGGCTTGTGTATGTATGTTACATGTTGCCGGAGACAGTCAACATAGCGTCTCATCTACCCACGCTCCCGTAACGTCTCCACCTGTGCCACCTGTATCCACATGTCTCGTCAGACAGCTCAGCAATGACGCATTGGATCAGAAAAATACCTTGATTTCCGCTTGCCATGTGAGTCGTGTACACCGATCGGAAGAATTACACGATGGTCGCAGCCACAATTTCCCCCGCAGACGGCAAAGCCATGGACTTTCACAAATGGATCTGCTTGCACTGCAAAATATAGTCGAGTCTGTCAGCTTTTGTCTTGTCAACAGCCACTGGCAAAGAAAGACTTAAGATTATCAATTATCGAGATTGAATGAGACGCACAGTCTGCAATAGGAGTGCCAAGAGAGCGCCGCCAGGGTGGGACCTAGATGCCGGGAGACGCGGAGAGCGGACATCTAACACGTGGGAAACATGGAGATCAAAGGCTCTACCCCCTTCTACTGCCGCAGAGCACTGAATGAATCGTGTTTCACGCCGCGATCAGCAATTATTTTAACAGATCGTTACCAACAGACAGGTGCCCGTTTGTAAAGTTGGAACGTATTAAACTATCAGTGCTACAGTGAAATAGGATATGTATCCACCATCGTAGCATATTTACACTGGTTTAAAAAGACATGATCGTACACAAACATTAACTGTAGTCGATCCCGGTAAGTAGATAAGTATACCAGCAACAGAATCTGTTTGTATTCAATTCAAGTGGAGCACTACATCAATAGCTAGGTTTTATACATTTATCAACCGTTGGCAATAGGCTGATTGTGTGTCAAACATCTACTATTACGACGACTGTAGTTTTAGTAAGGTATTGGAATTTTCATTACATTGTTTTGTGATTATTGACACATATACTTATACAAAGGTTAAAGAGTGTCTGCCCGGAGAGCGGAAGGTCCGGGGTTTGATCCCCCGGCCGCGCCATACCAAAAGACGTTTAAAGATGGTACTTGTTGTTACCCAGCCTGACGATCGGAATAAAGGGGCTAAAACTGGGACTGGTCGGCTCGGAGTATGTCAGAGTAGGGTATACATGTTAATCTGCGGCATGGTATCTCATTGGGCTAGCACTATAAATCCGGACTGGTACAAGCACACACACACACACACACACACACACACACGTGCATGCACGTCGCTATATGAGTGCGATAATCTGGAAGGCGAATTAATTCCCATGTCGAAGTACGGATTATTCGATACATTTTCGATCGATGGCCCTAAATGTTTTTAAGAGATAGAAAGAGTGACTTGACGTATAAGTTGTTTGAATGTTTGTTTGTTGTTGAAGGCCCCACCATTCCATCTGACTGATGTTACTAGCCACGATCAAGGCCGCCAGGGGGACGATGACGCGCCATCAACCATCTGACTGATGTTACTAGCCACGATCCAGGCCGCCAGGGGGACGATGACGCGCCATCAACCATCTGACTGATGTTACTAGCCACGATCCAGGCCGCCAGGGGGACGATGACGCGCCATCAACCATCTGACTGATGTTACTAGCCACGATCAAGGCCGCCAGGGGGACGATGACGCGCCATCAACCATCTGACTGATGTTACTAGCCACGATCCAGGCCGCCAGGGGGACGATGACGCGCCATCAACCATCTGACTGATGTTACTAGCCACGATCCAGGCCGCCAGGGGGACGATGACGCGCCATCAACCATCTGACTGATGTTACTAGCCACGATCCAGGCCGCCAGGGGGACGATGACGCGCCATCAACCATCTGACTGATGTTACTAGCCACGATCCAGGCCGCCAGGGGGACGATGACGCGCCATCAACCATCTGACTGATGTTACTAGCCACGATCCAGGCCGCCAGGGGGACGATGACGCGCCATCAACCATCTGACTGATGTTACTAGCCACGATCAAGGCCGCCAGGGGGACGATGACGCGCCATCAACCATCTGACTGATGTTACTAGCCACGATCCAGGCCGCCAGGGGGACGATGACGCGCCATCAACCATCTGACTGATGTTACTAGCCACGATCAAGGCCGCCAGGGGGACGATGACGCGCCATCAACCATCTGACTGATGTTACTAGCCACGATCCAGGCCGCCAGGGGGACGATGACGCGCCATCAACCATCTGACTGATGTTACTAGCCACGATCCAGGCCGCCAGGGGGACGATGTCGCGCCATCAACCATCTGACTGATGTTACTAGCCACGATCCAGGCCGCCAGGGGGACGATGACGCGCCATCAACCAGGCCACCGAGCCTGACCACCCGATCCATTAAATCGCCTCTTTTACGATAAACGTGGGGTTTGGGGGGACTTACTCTAACCCCGACAACGGCATGGGGGTGGGGTCGGGTGGGGTCACATGGAAGATGCATTTCAATACACCGTGTGCCTCTTGTCACAAAGCACATGTCCCTGGGAGAGTGGAATTGGCTATTCTGACTGAACTTATAGTGGCAGTCTAATCGTGTCCGATAACAAATGATAGAACACACACACATACGTCTTTCCCAAAACAATATCAAAGTTAGAAGAACACACGAGGGAGTGCTTAATCCTATAAGAAGTATAAATGTGTGGTCCTTACTAAAATAAATCTCAATAGTTTTCATTACCTTGTCAAGGACGACCTAGTGTTTAAAACCACCATGTCTAATGTGGCCGAGAGGAATTAGACGCCCTTACTGGTTTATTAGTCCATTCGTTGGTCAATAACAGCGAGCACGGACAGCCTGCGTAAACAGCAGATTCTCAAGCTGATCTGTTTTGTACACAGCTGCAGCCGAATCAAACCCGATGGCATTCGTCTCCACTCGGATATTTCCGTAACCTGCAAGAAGATAGTCCATTCATTGGTCAATAACAACGAGCACGGACAGCCTGCGTAAACAGCAGATTCTCAAGCTGATCTGTTTTGTACACAGCTGCAGCCGAATCAAAACCGATGACATTCGTCTCCACTCGGATATTTCCGTAACCTGCAAGAAGATTGTCATTCGATTTGACCCGGTATAGCAGTTCACGGACGAATGACGTGTATCACTTGTTATTGACGCATCAGTGACAAAATGATTACTAGCATCTGATGCAATTCCCAATTTTGAGTGAGTGAGTGAGTGAGTAAGATTTTACGCCGCTTTTAGCAATATTCCAGCAATATCACGGCGG